AAGCCCGGTAATTTTGACCGTGAAGCGTGTGCTGTAGGGTTAAATAGGTATAATTTTAAGATTATTTTTGTTTCATAATCAACTGGTTTTAGTGAACCAAATGTTTACATAACTTACCYAGTACGTAGCATATCTTACATATTTTATCTTCCATGTGAAGCTTAAATGTTTAATCTTACTTTTTAGCTGGACTATAAATATGCAAGGTGCAGAAGGTACTATATATGATGGAGAACAATTCCAATTGCAGTTCAAATTTGGTTCCAGTTATCCTTTTGAGTCGCCTGAAGTAAAAAAAAAATTATTTTACTATTTTTATTTTAACTATTTATTTCATGGTACTAATTTTTTTTTTTTTTCGAGGTTACATTTGTCGGCCAAAACATTCCAGTTCATCCACATGTGTATAGTAATGGACATATTTGTTTATCTATTCTTACTGATGATTGGTCACCAGCATTGTCTGTTCAATCTGTTTGTCTTTCAATTATATCTATGCTAAGCAGCTGCAAAGAAAAGGTGATTTCACAAAAATAAATAATAATATAATATTCTGCAAAGTTTTACTAATGTAATATAGATTAGATTGCCTTTTAAATCGGTATATAAATAAGTGAATTCTCAATTGAACACATCATTTTATTGAATAGTGTTTTTTTGCTTTCACACATTACTTATTACCAGATTTGTATGTATATTTTTAAGTGTATGCATTAAAATGAGTTAAGAAATGTGGATACATTTCCCATATAGCTTTAACATTTAATATAATAGAAAATAATATTTTATCTTTTGATTGTTTTTGTTTGAATTACAGTTAAAATAGTACTATTTATCAAAAAACAAAAAGATTCATTATTATTATTTGTATTGATAAAATAAAAAATCTGTTTAAAATGAAGCAAATAACCTGGTTATCTAATCTAGAATAAAATTTTTTACTGAAAACAATTTGAAAAAAAAGCCACTTCTTGTAAATACTTTCAATTAATTTTCTAATGATAATAAGTACTTACTTTTTATTTTTACCACACCATAGTAACTATATTTTCTAATTCCTTGCTTATAATAAAAACAGTGGATTATTTCTAATTTATAGGTATATATTATTGTTATATTGTTATTTTTGCTGCATCATCTATACTTTTCTAATATATAATACAACCGGTGGTGACACACATTACTTGATCTGCTAAAAAATATGGCTGTTTTAATTGAAACAATTGGAAAGATATGAGGTCTTGAATATATTTTTCAATAAATTTAAAGAAGTCTATAGTCGTCAATCAATATGATTCCGAACTAGCCAAATGTCTCTGAATAAGACCCATTAATTCTCATTTCAAACTGAACTATTTTAATTATTACAATCATAAATTAGTTTTTATTGGTATTTCAATTACAATTAATACAATATAAATTCTAAAATTTGTTATATAGAACATATTATATAGTTCTTAATTATTTCAATTTTATTATTACCGCATTATTGTATGTATCATCATATATTATTTTAATGTAAACTACAGCAATAATAATATGTTTTATCATTTACAGAAAAGACCTCCAGACAATAGTTTTTACATAAAAACTTGCAACAAAAATCCAAAAAAAACAAAATGGTGGTATCACGGTAAKTAAATAAAATTACATTCTTAAATGGACCATATTACATTATTATTGTAGTTAATAAACAAAAATTAAGATTTTATATTTAATTATTGTTAATTTTTTCTTTTTCTTTTCAGATGACAAAGTTTGAAGTATTGAACATCCATTATTTTATCTTTTCACTATAATATATTCTCATTTAGTGAAAATTGTGATCTTATTTTATTGCAATTAAATGTACTCACTTTAACAAAATTATTAATTAGACCCAGATCCTGTTGAATGTACATTTGTTCACTATAAATATATATGATAACCTTTCAATTATTATACACACTAATAAATATGTAATGTACCTACTATTATTTTCTTAAATTGAATAATATATCTTAAACAATAATCTGAACCCATATTGCTAATGAAATATACCATGAACAAGGTAAATATATTTGTAAAAATTATGTATTTATAAATATAACAATG